TGTTCTAATTTAGAAAAGAGCCTTGTTCTCTCAATGCCTATATTTGGAGCATAAATATACAAAAAAATGAAATTCATATTTATGTATTTCAGCTCTAACAATCAAGAGTCTTCCAGGTACCAATTAATTTTTCCACAAATTACTGCAATTGAGAGAAGGGGCAAAAAGAATTGCTACCTCAGCACTTAAATTATTCCCATGACTAAGAAAATGCTCTCCCCTCCACCATAGCCCCCAATCAACTTCGTTGTCTGAATTGCTGTGGGTTTCTTGCAAAAAAAAGATAACATATAAATCTTTCAAATTAATAATTTCAGAAAGAATTGCACTTTTTTTCATATCCCTAATCCCATTCACATTTAGTGATCCTGGTCTTAAGATCTCCATCAGAAAGAGAGAGGAAAGAAAACACAGAGAAATTAAATAAAAAGTGTAACCCATTATGAGTCTTTAGCTTTCCCCCTCGTTAGTGGTTCTTTACCAACCATTTTCAATTTTTGCCTAGCAGATGTGATACATTTCTTAAGCTGAAACCTTTTCTGTTGAGAGAGCTCAGTGCAACTACTCATATTTCGGGCCCAAGCTACCGAAGAAACAAATTTCTCAAGATCAGGAAAGAAATCAACAATTTCTACTCCTGGTTTCCCTTTAGTTTCATCAAGAAAACTATTAATCTGTTCAACGGTGTACAAATCACTTTCTCTTGCTCTTTCCATCTCGGCCCACTGTTCATCTCACACCATCTTCAGTACTCTGAGATAAACCATCCATTTCTTCATCTATGTCCTCTTCTGAACATTTTTCCTGAGTTACTAAAGAGTGTTGTTGCACATCCTCTACACTGCATTCTACTACAACTAGCAGGCTTTTCAACAGCATAACTGCACCCAGGCTTATCAATAGTGGTTTATGGTTTAGCTCCTATGTACTTAACGGACCTTCTTTCGCCCTACAATCCACCGCGTTCCTTAAGATCACTAAATTCAAGGCTTCTGGTCATTCCTAGGATATCGAAGTCCAGTAAAGGAGGGAGGGCGTTCTCGCATTTAGCTCCAAAACTCTGGAATGGCCTTCCCGATACGGTCCGAGCCTCTGACTCGCTGACACAGTTCAAAACTAGATTAAAGACGCATCTCTTTAGTCAAGCATTCACATAATGCTTACCTTCTAGTCCTCTGTTATGCCATACGGAACCGTTTGCCACTGAAACTGCTTAACGCACCAGTGGGGCTCGACAGCCTCTTAGACAAACGGGTCGCCGCGTATGGTTGGGTTGCGGAGAGTTCGGGTTACGGAGAGTTTGTGAGTTATAACGGAAATTATTATGAACATCAGCTATGCTAATTATTTCCCATCTGCCTTTCTGCTGTTATCTCGGGACGCTTGTCCCGAGAAAAATGGCGTTCGTCAGGTCCAGTTTTGTGTCCAGCCTCTCACGGGGATTTCGGATGCCCCAACGCCTGTGATGAGACGACTCAACGCCTGTGATGAGACGACTCAACGCCTGCGATATGTTATGGCGCCGTTTGATTCATAAACAATATTTATATTTAATATTTATATTTAAACAATATGAATGTAAGCCAGAGGAGAACTGGCCCCCGACTGAGCCTGGGTTCTCCCAAGGTTTTTTCTCCATCCAATCTGATGGAGTTTGGTTCCTTGCCACTGTCGCCTTGCTTTTGGCTTGCTTTGAGCTTGCTCAGTTGGGGTTATTTATTTAGTGTTTAACAATGTTGTTGATCTGTGTTGTGCTACTTACATGTTATCACTGTGAAGCTGCTTTGATACAATCTGTATTGTGAAAAGCGCTATATAAATAAATGTGACTTGACTTGACTTGACTTATCATTAGCCAGACCTTCAGAATTCATAGCAGCTTTCTTTGGCCAAGGCCCGCCCATAAGGCCGTTTGACCGACATGTCAAACAACCAATTACAGTTCGTTTCATTCAGCGTCACGTTTCGGGGCGTGGAAATGTCCCCACAACATCAGACCGGCGTGCAACAAGTCAGTCAGCAGCAGTCACCAGAGGCGCTCGTTAACAACGGTCTGCGTTATTAAATTCACCCACGAACTCGCGCTCATGTCCATCTTATGCCCGCTTTGTCACACAGCCAGTTCAACCTCGTATAAATCAGGTTATGTGTGTAAATCACGTGGCCGCTCACGAGCGCTTACTCTTAACAGACACACTGTCCCCGGCGCTGCTCGTGCGTCACAGATGTTCATAAAGCGCTCCCCGTTCACAGTAACCGGCTCGTCTCATTCAAAACAGCCAGCTGTAACGTTAGCTGTCAGCGAGTGACTCTGCAGTATCTTATGCGCCTTATAATCCAGTGTGCGCCCTATATATGAATACTGAATCGGCCAGCAGCGATGTCAGCGTCTGTTGTTTCATGTTTGCCCACAAACGCGGCTGATATCCCCTTTCGCAATTAAGTACTGTACTTCACTTGATCTTCCATAATAGATAGGAGGGGACATACAACTACGTTTAGCTGATCTTGATTAATGCTCATTGTCACTCATATAAACACAACAGTTTTTCTTCCGCAATCACACGTCTGCGCTTTGTTTCCCGGCGGACCGAAAATAAACGCGACACTGACGCCCCCCGGAAATCCGATAAAATTCAATCAATCAGATGACGACTTCGACATTCCTGAAGTGTTTCCAGTTAAGTGTACCATATGCATCAGACGTTTAGCCAACGTTCTGTGGGCGTGACGTCTGAGGCTGAGACTAATCATTACTCACTTGTTCCTTCACCTCCTCCGTCACTCTATCAGTCTGCACAGTGTCTTGTTTATTCATTTCAATCGCTTGAGATTCCCCATTTGATTCTTCATCTCTAGATCGTTATAAGCTGAGGTTCATCACGCACTTTATGCGGACAATCGCCACAATCAAAACAGTTCAAACTGTCCGTGCTCGCGTACACCATATACGAATTATCTTCGTGTTTAACTCTAAAGGAAACTTCTAAAGATCGATCTTGGGAGCTTAGAAACATAAAAAATGTACGTCGAAAAGACAATACATGCTTTAGCGCCGCATTTTTGCATCCTAATGGGATCATTCTCATGGGGCTTGCGATTTTCCCAAATCGTAGAAGTTCTTTTACTATTGCGTCGCTGGAAACAAACGGCGGGACATTTGAGATTGTGATTTTAGTAGCTGGGGCAGACAGCGGTGAAACCGGAGCAAAAGCTTCTTTCACCCACAATCCGTCCACAGTCAATTTATTCACCAAAGCTTCAGCTTTCAAAAACACTCAACGCATTCTCATCCTTTAACGTCATATAGAACGCTATATGCAAAAACGGCGCTATACTACGCACATGGCACCCGTTATCGTTAATATAACACGCGCTGGGAGGGCTAAGTTTAGGCGTGGGGTAGGGTAAGGATTTATGACGTCTTAAGGCCAATTTATACTTCTGCGTAGGGTGCGCGCAGTAGGTACGGCGTAGCATACGCACAGACGTGTCCCATACCTCAAAAATGTAACTACACGTCGCGACGACGCGGACCGCAAGATCGGTGATTGGTCGGCTTGGTAGCATCGCATTTCCTCCGACGAATTTCCGCACGTACCTTCTCACGCATTTCCATCACTGTCTATGATTTCCACACGTACCATCTCCTCCGACGTCTTCTCTCATTTCTGCCTTTCAGTTTTAGTAATTTCACTAAAATTAACTGTTTTTCCACCTCAATAAGCTCCAACTCCAACATGATCCACTCTCTTTCAGTCGCTATTGCTTATAGTACCATAGCCGCGAGGAAACTAAACACAGTGGAACATTAAAACTCTCCACCGCTAACTAGCGTTTCGGAGCAGTACTGCAGAGCAACAAGACCTGAACGCAGAAGTATAAATGCTCATACGGCGTCGCCTACGTGCGTAGCCAACGCCGCACATTACGGCATACCCTCATCGCAGAAGTATAAATTGGCCTTTAGGTTCGCGTGTTATATTAACGATAAAGGGTGCCATGTGCGTAGTATAGCGCCGTTTTTGCATATAGCGCTCTATATGACGTTAAAGGATGAGAACGGGCTGAAACACTACGACTGCTTTGTTCATTCGCGAGCCAGAGATTATGTTATCAAAACCAACCTTCTCTCCTACCGCGACCAACAAATTTTCAACTGTTACACCCGCCTCTGGTACACACCTGCACCCATTACGAAGGGATAAGCAGGCCGTTCCTTGCGTAGGTTCCATACTGGCACTGTATTTTTTTTAAACCGTAACGTAGGGGGAAAAGAAACAAAGAAAAGAAACAAAATCAAAGAAAAAAGGATAGAAAGCTCTCAAACGCCACCGCACTGCAGTCAGTGTTGTTTAGAAGTAAATCTGAAATTCTTGAAAACTGCCAAACCAGTGTTCCTGGCCATCTCTTCAGCCCTGGGACTGGATGTTTGCCTTTACCATGCCATGTCCATGTGTCTGAGATTTAAATATGTGTCTGTAAGTGTGCACACATATGTCAAAGTGTGTTGTTTATTTAAAAGCTTTGTAGTTCTTTTATCTGCATGGGACAATAAGTGAACACTTTGAACATAACTTTTATAAGAACACTGTAACTTCAAAGCAACCTCGCTATGTTCCAGAGGCTGGAATATGATTATTATGTGGCCACAGAAAGCTGCTAAAGAAGATTCAAACAACCCCACAAATTCCTCCATCTCTTTAGAAACTTTTGGCATAAAAGTTACCTATATTACTTTTCAGTTACAACAAACTTTCTCTGTATAGGATACACTGTAATCGATAACTGACACTATCTATTTGCTAGTGTGTATGATATATTTGTCTATGTCCTATAAGAATGTGTGTTTTCTGTGGTTGCAAGCTTTTGGGTTTCAGTTCTTCTAACTGCTCGAATATGTCCGAGGTTTCTCTGCTATGTAGACAACTGCGGATGTGTGTATGTATGTGTGTGCGTGTGGTTGGCATGGTCTTTTCTCTCTCATCTCCATCTGGTCTCCATTAGGACTGGGAGTATAAAACTATTGCACTAAGAGAGGGAGCTCCACAGAGCCTCTGATCTCTTAACTCTAACACGCTCCTGCAGCTATGGCCACAATGCTATGGGTCTGCCTGCTTTGTCTACAGGGTTGTCTGCTTACACATACTCTGGACTGCATGGGCAGAAGTGTGGACTGTGCCGGCACACAGGTTACAGAAGTCAAGGTAAGGTCTGGTTTGAGATCTTGCATGGCTGAAGAACACAGTATGCTCCATTTGGGATGCATCATAGTTTGCTTAAAGTGCTTTTTAGTGGTACTAGTACAGTTGAGTTTCTTGTGTCTTCACATTTATAACACATTAATTACATATTAACAGCACATTACATCAAAATACAACTGTGCTTAAAGTTAAATTCAGGCTGAACTTAATATAAGAAACAAGATTTTGTAGTTTGAGGTCTACACTGGACTACAGTAAAAGCCTTGGAATGCTAACCCACAAGTTTCCATTCCAGCTTTGTTTTGCGTCACAATGGCAAAGCAAGAGAATAGGGCAATTATACTGGCCATGAGACATTATGAGTATTTTTAGATATTGAAGGAGGCAGTAAAGACACTGACCAGATGTGTTTGAAGGGTCAGAACCACAGACACAGATGCCATTTCACTCTTCGCTACCGTGGAGTCTGAAGAGCTGTGACTCAATAGTCTGTCATTCCAAAATACCCTGAAAATAACAAACGTCTCCAACTTTCCATGGCATTTCAATGTGCCAGAGTGCTACTTGACTTTCCACTAACTAAATTTTCCATTTCTTCTGTCTCATGTCCAGAGCTAACATACAGGCATGAATACACACACCTGTGTGTGAATTATCACACAAACACACATGTACTGTACTCTCTACGCACTTCAACTTCAATTTGGTAGGTTCAGATGAATTTCTATAGTTCAACAGTACTTGGGAAAACAGTGGTTTCTTTTTCTTGGATTTCTGAAACAGTAATTTCTAGGGAACTATGTGCTGCCACTCTAGCTGTTTAATAAAAAATGAATCATCATAAACACTGCATTTGTTTAATGTCTAAATAGTTTTAAGTGAATGCAGTACATTTTAAGATATTGAGGTGGAAAGAAAGGGATGAAATGAAGGAAGGAGTAGGAGTGCCAGGAGAGTTTAATCTTATTTATTTTAGTCAACTTAAAATAAGTTTTGAATTTAACAAATAAATAATTTAATAAAACTAAATAGTGGTTGGTCATGAAGAAAAGTATTAATTACAGAGAATATACAGTATGTGCACGGAGAAGTATTATATAGTGGCCAATTATCAGAGTTTTGATCAATATTTATTTAGTAATATACAGACTCCAGATAGATGGAAATTAAACAGACCAACTGTCTAGCTCAAACGGTCACTATTGTGGATTGTTTTCTAATGAATGAATGGAGGTTGGAGCAGGCTTCACTCAAAGTTTATATCTCAAATTGTTTTAAGAGTGCTGGCCTAATAATGACAATGCATGTATGGAAGAGAGAGGCCGCACTTTGCATATACAGTTTTATTACAAATATACAAGTAATAAAACTGTATATGCAAAGTGCGGCCTCTCTCTTCCATACATGGATTGTTTTCTAAACAATCTCCAAAGATTGCCATCTTTACAAAACCAGCCGTGGAGGCCAGATAAACACTAGTTTTAATCAATAAGTTGCTGTTAAAATAATTCATATCCCAATAATAATCCTCTTTCATGTCCTTTCATAGGTTGAAGAAGAGCCCTACTCTTCTCTGGTGAGTCTGTGGCATACAGTTTAAGCGTTTGGTGTCAGTGAGATTAATGATTTGAAAAGTCTCTATGTTCATAAATTTATTTGATCAAAAATACAATAAAAACTGTAATATTGTGAAACCTTATTAGAATAAAAAATAGTATACTATTTACTATATTTTAAAATTTAATTTATTTCCGTGATGGCAAAGCATTTAACAATCAATATTCCAGTCTTCACTGTATCCTTCATTGTATCTGGTGCTCAAGAAACATTTATTATCATCAATGTTGAAAATATTTGTTCTCCTTAATATTTTTGTAAAAACTGGGATGCAATTTTTATTTATGGTTTGTTTTATTTATTTTTTTAATAATAAACATTTATAATGTGACTTTTTCTTTGACCATAAGGCAAAAATTTGCCAACATCTATTCTCTGTTCTCAGGTGAGGATGCGAAGACAAGCTCAACTCACTCAACGGCCTGGATCTTACTCAGTCAAAGGATCTCCAAACACACTCATCCAGGTGAGAAACACATACATGTAACATAAGAGAAAAACATTTTGTACTCTCGGCGGAAACCGTGAGACGGTATAAAAGTTCATGTGCTTTCTGTTCTGTACTTTAGACAGATAGGTCGAGGCGACATTTGAATGCCAGTAGGAAGAAGCCCAACAGGTCTCGTATCGGCTCTTACTCACTTCTTGCCCACAACCACGCAACTAACCCACTACAGGTGCATATCCATGACAGCCACAATAACATTTTAAATCGCAAGTGACTTAAGAGACTTAAAAACAATAATAGTGCAATTTATCAAAATGGTACTATGATATTATTATTATTATCCTGCGACAGGTTGTAAGTGTGCATAGACAGTTCGAGGATGTTACCCATCCAAAAGTGGCTGCATTAAAGGTGAGATCTCTCAAACATACACACATTTCTGACAATTCAGTGTCAAAGGGTATAAGTACAACTCCTTCTCTATTTTAGTCTGTGAAGAAGAGGTCCAGAAGAAGTGCACCCAAGAGAAAGAAGAATGTGAGGAATAATACATGCTCATGAGATGTTCTTTGAAGCACCAGACCCACACTTACTTCTGCTGGACTTCCTGATGACTTTCTAACTCATTCAAATCTGAGATATGTACTTAAAGAGGGTAGACTCTGTTGTGCAGATCATGTTATTGCTAATTAATGACAGGATTTGGACGGTCCCAGAACTCAGAATTAAACAGCACACACAAATACTTAAATATGAACATATATGCAGCATACTAAGCTTCAAAACCTGCATAATACTCATTTAAAAGAAAGTTTATAGTTTAATTATATTTTGATAATAGGATTTGGAACAATGTTGTACTAAGTTATATAAGTCTACTGTACACTGCTTGAACTGATACAATATATCTAAATCTAGCTATCTATCTATCTTTTGTAGATTCCTGTTTAAATAACCTTTCTTCAATGTGGATGGTTTGAACTACTTCACATAAAACCGATTATTTCAAACGTCAAAGGTTTAAATTAATATTTGGAGAAAAAAATGCTAAATAGTCTTTAATCATTATAAAATGTTTAATATCTAAAAAGTACACTGACTGTCTGATTGCTGGGAAAGAATTTTCTCAATCTGGCAAGCTCTAATCTGATTGGCTGGCTTTGCCGTCTGGGAGTAGGGGTACACAGCTTATTTTATTCATATTTAGATGTTGGTCAAACAGTGGTTTCCTGCCTAAGTGGACGATTTTTGGAGTCCACTGCAAAAGTAAAGCAGACTTGCCTGGTTATGCAAGACCAGCAAAAAGCCAGTATGCTTGCAGACTCTGCCAGAGCACTTTGGCAGAGAGATCGGCGATGCCCAATTAGAGCGAAAACACTCAGACTTCATCTACAGCAACAGACGGCCCATTTTTGTCTGTGTGTGCATGCATATGTCTATATAAGGTACCAAACTACTAACCCATCTGTGCATAATGTTCCTCCAGTTCTGAAGGAGAGGCTGAGAAAATGCACTAAGTAATCCATTTAGTGACATAGCACTAGGCCAACCGACATAAAACACTCAAACACACACACACAAGCACTAGGGCTTTTATAAACACACCAGGCTTAAGGACAACTAAACAAGATCTGATTAGGTGGGATGGAAATTCAGTGAGGAAGCCATGACAGAGACATGAAGAGATGCAATATTTAACACACACATTCTTCACACCTGTCTGCTTAAAGGGTCACTTCACCCATTTGCATTAAGCTTTGTATCTTTAGAAACCCAGTCATATTTTTGAATGGTCATGGTTTATTCCCTTATTTCCCCCTGAGATGGGAGAAATAAGGATTTAAGTGTTTTATTTCCTGCTTATCGTGACGTAAAAATCGTCATTTTGCGTCATGATAAGCAGGAAGTCACATTTCATTGAAATGTCAACAGACTACAATGATTAGCTCATTATTATTCAAGGGTGTGGCACCCACTCACCCTACAAGCCTATTACAGATCAGTGGGTGGGACTTCACTTGCAGAGACTGAAATCAATATCCGCCATCTTGTTTGGAAGCTAAGCTAACAAGCCCTGTGGAGATATGAAGTTATGATAATGATGGAAGAAACTAAACATGATATGGAAGAAGAGGGTTTTGAAAGTCTGCTGCTCGAATCCGATGTTCGTGGCTATCTTTACGAGCTGCAGTATAGTTTAGAGCAGCTGAGGCTGATGGAGGAGCAGGAGACGCCTGGCTGTCGGTCGAGACGCCCGGACTGGGTCGAGCTCGGCGGCCTGCTGTTGCCTGTACTCTCGCTGCGTGCTACGGCCTACGGACACAGCCCGTCTGCTGCAGAGAATTTCAACGATGGCAATTTCTCCTGGAGGAAATCTCTGAATCAGACGAGCACACGGACGTTTGTGTTGTGATAGTTTCGCCTGACTAAACATCCAGGTATCATGCAGTAATTCACCATACAGAAATAAATACAAATGCGGAGTAATTCACTGGCGCTTATGTGTTTACAAATGTAACGTGAACGGGGTTTGTTGTTGTGGGAAGAAAGAGGCATGAACCGGCAAACATTTAAACATTTTAATAGTCAAATGAACAAATACAAAACGAAAGTAAGCCAGCGTTACACACAACAGAAACAAATAAACATAAAATCAGGCCTGTTTCTCTCTCGATCTGCCGTCGTCGCTCCCCATTTTAAGCATTGGCTACTTCATGAGAGACGCACCGGCGCGCGCCTCACAGCTGTCTTTCATTATCACTCACGCTACCGGCCTCGCGCAGCGCGCCTTCCTCTTACATCCCTCGCCCTCGATCGTCCTGCTCGCCACAGCCAACTAACTAGACATTTTGTTTGAAATGAATTTCAAACTCTTACTCTGGTGAAAGCTAATGTTAGCGTTGTAGACGTTAAGGCCTGTTCACACCGGGACGAATTTCGCGCACGTTATTCGTCGACGTTTAACGCCTCGTGACTAAACAATGGGCGCCAATGTGAGTGTTCACACCGACGCGAAAAACGGCACGCGTAAAAGCGTCATTTTTAAAAAAAACGCCTCGGGTTCGTTTTTTTGGTTTGAGATCGGCGGGTTTGCTCACGTGTCTGGTACTTCTGAAATTACAGTAAAACACAACTTGAGGGCGCTCAAACACAAAACGGTCTTGCCGAGCACACATACGGCGAAGAAGAGATAAGATACCTATGGGCAAGATGTTGAGCTGCTGGTCTCGGAGCACAAAGAGCTATAAGATAATATTTATATTAGTATTTCTGTAATATTAGTATAGTATAGGGTGACCAACAGTCCTGTTTTCCCGGGACATGAGTAAAACGGTCACTTTGTGCTTTATAGAAATCTGAGTTGAGATGTCCTGAAATGTCCTGGGTTTCAAACAAAAACTGCTGGGAAAGATCAGTTCTACAGCAAAATATAGATGGGCAAACAAGGTGGACGAGGAAGAAAAACAAGATAAAGAGAATGAAAACTAAAGATATAAATAGATTTTGTTAGTTCGTTTTTGTAAGTTTGTAAGAGCTATTTTTTGTTACATTTGGAGGCATTTCTTTTAGTTATTTATTATTTAGGCCTATATATTTTTCTAATACAGAAGACATTATTTCTATCATTATTTCATTCGGTTTTTTTCTATCTGTCATAATAAAACATTGAGACATGAATATGATCACCCTAGTATAGTATTCTATTATTATTTCTGTTTTACATTAAGCGCCATCTAATGTCAGGGAATGAATTTGCATGTTCATTCGGCTTATCGTCAGCGAAAAACGCTTGGGTGTGAACACAAAAAACGCGTTGAAAAACGCTGACAAATAACGCGCGCTGATATTCGTCCCGGTGTGTACGGGCCTTTAGAGTGTGTTTGCGTCTCTGTTTGCGCTGTTCCGGTGGGTGGGTGGGTTAGTGGGTGTGGCTTGAGGAGCTGTGCAATTTTGGGGCATTCTGGGAACTGTAGTTTTTTAAGACAAAGGCGCCCCTTGGTTATTTTGGTCTTTTCTCGGTCAAGAGGGCACCAAATTAAAAAATTATTTTACATTTCGACTACATACATGATCCACTTTCAATAAAGATTAATGTTGCAATGGGTAAAATGCTGCTTTAAATCTGGTGGTTAGTGGATAGCCCGTGTGTAAGAGAGGAAGAGTGCAGTTAGTTAACAAAAACACTTTTATTGCTATGAACTGAATGTGCTCTATAATGTGCTGTATTCCCATTTCGCAAACAGGCACTTTTGATTATAGAATTAAAAAAAAACATTAAAAAAACATATTACATACATTAAATTCTAATAATATTTGATCTGCATTAAATTACAAAGTAGTCACATTTCAATTAAAGACACAACTTGAACTTTCAAATATTTTCTTTATATTGTGTATGTACTTGTGATATCCCATAAATGATAAGAGTATGATTAATTGCTTATTTCTGTTAAAGTAGGTCACTTGGAATCTAATATTTGTTCTTCCAAGATTGCGTTGAGTCATTTTTTAAACAATTAATTGAGTGGTTTATGTGTTTGGCTGATTTAAGGTGAATCAGAGTTTAGCTTGGGCTCGTCTCTGTTGGTCTCTGAGCTCCAGGCGAGCAATGGAGGACAAATGGACCTCATCAGGTCCGTCAGCTATGCGTAGAGTCCGTGCATAAGCATACCTATATAAACATATAACCACACAAAAATCATTTTAATGCTATAGCACATCACAAAAAACTTGTAGTAATTCTCAAACAGCTATCAAATACAAACAGCTGTACAAAGGTTGATTGTTTATGGTATAAAATTATAATAATTACAAATTGTAATCATTATTATCATAATCAATAAATAATAATTATACTCTTAACACTAGTATAATTATTTTATATACAATTATTATACATCACATTAATAATAATTGCAACATAAGTTAACTATATTAGTAAATATCAACAATGAATGCAAAATTTAATAAACAATAACAATTAATTAACTAACATTAATATGTAATTTAAAAAAAACTATTTTGATACTTTATAATATATAACTACTTTTAAATAACTTTTAACAGATTCAGTATATATTACAGAAATTAAGAAAAGTAATTAAATGTGTGTGTGTGTGGGGGGCTTTACAATTTGCCTCACACTCACCCATTCATACAGATAAATCCTTACTTAAGCTACAAGTTATTCAGATCAAGAGCAGTGAATGATGTTCTTTTTCTTTTGTTCTTTCAATAACATAAATGACACTGACAGCAGCTTGTTTTTAGGCTGTGGTGTCGCTTTAAAGGGTAACTAAACACCAAAACAACTTTTTTTAGTTAATGATCTGTAAGAATGGAGCTTCATAAATGCTGTTCATTGATTCGATTACATTTTTTGACAATTGAGTATAAAGTGTTTTGATTTTCAAATATATGGTGTAAAAACATCTGAGTGCTGCCCTCTTCAGGTTAAACGGAAAGCTCCTGCAGCAGGGGTACTTTCTGACGTAGGGAACTCTCAGACGCCACTCTGTCACGCCCTTGGTGCGAGCTCACCACGCCCTTGGCAGCCCCTGGTATAAAAGCATCTGGTTCCGTCAAAACTACTGTAGCGAGTCAGGAGTTGGATTTATGAGTATTGAAAACGATCAGGATAGCATATATTAGCATCTAGTTAGCATAGCATTTATATAGTTATTTTGATTATTTAGATTATTTTTGAAAACGATCAGGATAGAGTATTGTTGCATCTATTTAGCATAGCATTATATAGATAATTTAGATTATTTTGTGTAGCTAGTAGCATAGTACAGTTAGGATAGCTTCAAGTTAGCATAGATTTATCAGTGTTTAGTACAGTGATCAGGATAGTAACGGAATAGAGGTGGACATGGGCTTCTCCACACAGCTGCACACGCAGTGCCAAACACTGCTCGTCCTGCATGGACGTCTGGATATTTTCATGGATATTTTAATCACAATTTATGGTTAGGATAAAGTTAATCCTCTGGGGTCGACAAACGAGCCGTTGC